AACGCGGATAAATGATGCAGCCTGTCGTCCGGAGGAATTGACGACAGCGATAGTTTTCGATGGAGTGATCATGGATCGTTTTGATGGACGATCTGAAAGAGTTGGAGGAGGATTATATAAAGAGAAATTATCAAGAGGGGAACTTTCGGGGTATGAAGTGCAAGGTGCGTGTTTGCGATTTATGGGTTGTGGTGGTTCGGAAGGTCGAGGTCTGATGGCGAGGGTAGCCCTCGGCGTTGCTGAGGGCATTGGATGATATGATTAATTGTCAGACGATCTATTGCCTTTGAATAACAAGCAATGATGCAAGGCTAATTTTTTGTGTTTTTCCTCCAGATGAAATTTGTGGCTGAAATCTCTCTCTTTCCGAGTTACTCCCAACTTTAGACGAAATGGAAATTACTGTTTACTTGTACGGAAAGTCCAATTGAACCCTTGCTGCTCCTTCAGACAAACGAGGAAATGGAAGCGGAGAAGGTTCCTGAAAGGGGGTACCGACGAATCAATGCCTTTGGTGAGAACCTGCGCTCGACAAATATGAATCTAATGGTCGAATTGAATAGATGGGTCGAAATGCAATGCTGTACGTCGATCACAAATGCCAAGTCCTTTCTTTGTTTTTGGGTTAATAAATATCCTGGTAGAGTTCGAAAGTGTTCGATCTCGAGTTATTCAACTTATAGACTACTAGACCCAGTGACACCACCTCAGCCCTCGTTTGCGAATGACCTCAAAAAGGACTTGGGGAAAATGCCTGGACTGCTAATGTAATGAATTACCAAAGATGGGATGAGTTTCCGTGATGTTGGAAACTTTTTGCGTCTAAGATTGATCCAATCGGGTAATTATCTTTTTCTTTATCCGATTAGTTTTTTTTTTTAAAGCGGTGAAGTTGTTGTTTGCTTTCAATTCATTCAATAAATCCTCTCTCATGTAACGAAACGGGGGGAGGGGGGAAGTCAAGTGATTGAAGCTTCTTTCTTTTCTTTCTCCCTTGCAGCAGCTTCTCCTTTTGTTGTCAAGGAGGAGTGGATATACGTGTTCGTGTAATGAGTGATTGTCTTTTTTCTTCCTCCTTTTTTCCCTGGTCAATCGTTCTGGGTATCTCGAGAGAGATAGGAAGATGTAGAGTTCAAGAGGAAATCTTGTACCAAGTGAAAGATAATTGTGGATGTCTGTGTCGTGGGATGATTTGTGCGGTGGTACGAGAAAAATGCAGTACGAAGAGTGATGCTTTTCTTATGTAACGAAACAAGAGATGTGTAGCAGTTGGAACACGCTTGGAACTTGGAAGCGTGAAAAGCTGTGAGATCCTAATTGGGTATGGAATGTAGGTTGATATCGAGGGGCAATATTTTAGTAGAGTAGAGTCGAGAAGAAAAGATAAAGGAAAGCGTTTATAAAATTCTTTCCTTCCGAGGTTTGTTTCAAATGTTATATACTCCGTGTACTGGGTATGTTGTATACCGAGTAGGAATGGATGGGTAAAGAAGGTTATTGAAATGTCGATGTGATAGGTAGGTACTGCCCTCACCGGGAAAGGAAGATGGATGTATAATGATTACATGTATATATGTACAAGTATATATGTATGTATACACACGTAAATCCCTTGTCACTAGGAGTGAAAAGTGTAAAGTGTAATGAGAAAAGAAGAGGGGATTGGTTCAACAAGTGTACCAAAGTAGGTACATTTAATCTTTCATGACTCGGTCCACGTGCAATGTCCTTATGATCTAATGATATATACGTCCATCGTAGATAGTCTCGATAGTTTGCCTACTAGACCTTATACTCTACACTACACTTATCTCCCACCAGTCTCCACAAGCCATTCGAAAGGATCTTGCCCCGTCCCCTTTGTTCTAGAGAGAGAGAGAGATAAGGCTAAGAGTAGTTCGATCAATCAATCTTCCTCTTCTTCTTCCTCTTCTTCTTCCTCTTCTTCTTCTCACAACCTTGATGGCTACGGCAGTTGGAGTTGTCCATGATATACTTCTGATAGTGTAACATGTACATGTACCTGCTACATAGGGAGGGGTATAATGCTTCTTATTTAGATGCACCTGCAATGTTCATGAGATCTACTTGGTTTAATACTGTACTCGTCGATTGTACTCGTCGATTGTACTCGTCGATTGTACTCGTTCATCAAACTTTACCTTCCAATTGAGTGACCTACTTGAACATGCATACACAGTCACTCACTGCCAGCCACATATATCACTCGCGAACAATTTTTACCTGGCATGGAAAAAAAAGTATTTTTATATCAAATCCCTTCCGTCGCTCAATCCACCATGGTTTCCCCACAAATTGTAGATAAGGCGGGACCTACTTCGTAATAGAGTTTTGCGGCATCGGATGATGAAAAAGAACTTCATCTAATTTGACTAATTAGTGAAATGTGCAAGCAGACGGTGCACCATGCGGTCTAAGACTTTGGGAATTAGTAATAGTATCGTCCTTCCATCCATTCAAAGCACAATCTGGAATCTGGATGTTCTGTTTGGAGGCCAATGGGAAAATCGTATCAACTCCGTATGTATTTTGTCTGTGTTGCTCGTCCCATTATTTGAAATGTGATGCTATTTCAATCATCTAACCCTTACTACCGTACTTGTGCTTGTACTCTCCATAACTCATCGCAACATTTGCCAAGTCATCCTTTACAATGTACATGTACGAGTAAATTAACTCACTCGTATGGCAGGCATTGCCATTCCCACTCACTACAGTCTACAAGTGGAGATTGGAATGAATGCTTCCCTTTTCGTGTCTACTCTGGTATGGAGAACTCTCAAGGTCGTTGCCATCTAACCAATGAGAAGGATTCTATTATACTGTCTTTTCTAGATGACCTCCACGTGGTGTCATCAACACGTGTTGATACCGAATTGTTTCTTTCGATAAATCGGGTTGAGATACAGATCGATGAAAGCTTTATTAGGAACCTCGTTACCCAATGGTAGAGAGAAATCGACCATGTTGTATCATATATCATGTATCATGTTGTATCACCTCGTATCAATCAATGTCCTTGCTCTTTCTTAACTACTACTACTCACTCCTCACTCCTTACTACTCATTCGAAGTTTGACATCAAATCTGCTTTTGGTATAGACTATCAGACTATCAGACTATCAATACCAACCTCTAACTTACCATGAATTCATGATATCAAATCAAAGAATCACGAGATCCTTATCCATCCTCCTGAGCACCGAGGAGGAAAAAAAAGAACAGAGATTGATTTTTCTTACCCCATCAATATGAATTCAGAATCTTGAACCAATGAGAAATTTTGCTTCTCAAACCATTTCCCATTACCTAACCACATCATGGTTTACCTTGAACTGTCTTGAAATTTTTCAATGCCATGTCGCCATTTCTTATAATTATTACTTCATGAGAATTGATCCTTTCCGTCCTGTCATACACATTTCCGTGTCTCTTCACCATGGAATTGATCTGGACTGCAAATTCGGAATACCGCCATTTCAATGTCTCATTGTTCCCAAAGAACTCTGTTTTGCAACATCCACATGAACCAAAGATTTATTTTGGACCGAAGAACCAATCTTATTCTGCTTTGCGCTGCTCTGCTTTGCTTTGCGGCCAATGAAAATATTCTTAGCTAGCCCATATGGAAGTTTCTATGACCCATTACTGGATCTTATTACCTACCTAGGCACTTCAACCAAAAAATTCACCTAAATCTCATACTTATACGAATTACCCCTTCATCATAGGCGATAGAATCTTCCAGATTCAACAAAATCAAAAAAGTCCCTCATCTCATGGCCATGCCATGGGCCATGGCTCAAGCTTTCCCCCTCGCACTTTTACGTGGTACAAAATAATCCGTACCCGAAGAATGAACGACGATTAGATTTTCGATTTTCTACGGGATGAGCCTTGTTTTGGAAACTATTCTCCTAGCTCAAGAGTCAATATGCATGGACATTGCTCAATTGAGGTATTATCTTGTCAAAGAAATCCGGGGTAGCATTAGGGGTAAAGACCCTGCTTTTTGCCTCTCTTCGTTTCCCCTCTTCTATTGTGCCCTGAGTACATTCTTTCTCTCCACTTCTCAGCCCTCGCCCAACGCAATTTTCTCGCCGCGGAGAAGTATAATTTTAATATGACGAATACCTGGTGTGATTTTGGATCATAAGTATGAATGTGAGAATGTGATGGGAAGGCGGGTGATTACCCGCAGATTCTCGAATCAATCCTTTTTTGACGTCAATGTACTTCGTATATCTTCTCGTTATCTTATCTATCTCACTCCTCAGATCTTTGCTCAAATTCCTTCATTTGATTGGAGATGTCTTGCAGTTCGTTCGGCTGCAATGCAACCAACTATCCATCCAGAATGCAAGGAGACAGATTTGGTCATGAACCTGAACTATCCTTCTTTCCTTCCCGCTTTTATTTTCCATCGTCCTTGCAGAGAATCGTTTTATTTGCTGCCACACCGCTGGGTTTGCATATGCGTGAATCATTCAGGCAGGTCCTCATCGCAAGGCGAAAATTCTGGTCATTATCCATCAAACCGCTTCACAACCATAAACGAAACCGAAACATTTCGAACTTGGCTGACGAGCTGACCAATTGTTCCAAAGATTGTGTTTTCATGAGCTCCGATTTGGCTAATATCACTCAGATTGGATGGCCAGTTATCTAGGCGATCTCGCATAGCTGTGTGTGCGAACAGTGCCCATTGGTAAACTGGCTCTCGCCCACTCTGCAGACGTATATGCATTCAAGTACCATGTACTCATCTACCAAAGGATTCGCATATGGTAGGTGCTAGTTCAATAATCAATATATGTAAAGTACTACAATTTGGTAAACTAGATAGTTTCTACAAGCCAATAGTCCTATGAACTCGCATCAAGGACAAAGTCAATCCATAACGCCGAAAAGCACTGAGCCCCATTTTCTATTTTCCACGCGAGGAAAATACCCCAAGAACATCAAATTGCAAGGCAAACTCATTGTAACTTCTTTATCCAAACTTTCGCCTCTGCCAGTCTTCTAATAGCTGTTGGAAATTCTGGAGTTCTCATTCGCTCTACCACTGGGCTCCACATTGTATCGGTTAGAGCTCTCGAGGTCTTTTCCAACGATTCATCCACTCTCTCTACATTTCCTATAGCATGTTCGTCCTTATATATTACTCTTGCTGCCTCAATTCTGTCCGCTGCGGTTTCCCATCTCTTAAGTACTGACTTGATGGCTTTTGCTATGTCAGCCGTCGCTGCTGAGTATGTCTCGAATGTATTTGGTGGAATCTTGATAGCGGGCTTTTCAAGTCCTCGCTTGAGATCATTGTAAACATCTATAAGCATTTTACCAATCGAAGGACAATTGGGCCCGTCTTTCTTCCCGAGTATATGACAGAGAATTTGTTCGCCTTCACGATATGTTTTTTGTGGAATGTCGGTGAAGTCATGATGTGTGATGTTGTGAGCAGCTCTTATCCAATTCGGATGATCTTCTTCGAAATCAGCATTCATGGCATACCCATCAAATATACCTGTGAGTTCCGCAGTTGCTTCAACTTGCTGTGCAAGGAAAGAACGCCACGCGTGATCGACTTCTCGATTCTTTTCGACAAACTTATCGATTGACCGGAGGAGAGGTTGAGACTTTTTTCCTTCGCCTTCCACCACTTCTTTTCGGAGTGCTTCGATAGGTAGGACGGCTTGATTAAAGGGACTATCGGTTAATTTCTCAAGAATTCCATTCTCATCCAATGATATCTTTGCAATATCATTGATAGCAGAGGCAATCTCAACCACCGCATCCCCATTCGCTCTCTCGGCCTTGACCTTAAACTTGCTCTTCAACGATTCCTCAGCATTCATTTTCATCGTCTCCCTAACAAGCTCATTTTCCTGAGCCCACCGACTCGCATAAAAGGCAACAACAACAAGAACAAGTGGAACGATCAGCCACCACAACCAATCCCACCCATACTCTCGCGAGACGGTCGCAAAAAACCCATCGGAGAGTGGAGGCGGCTTTACCGTCTGAACGGGAGCAGGCACGCGACGCGGCGCCATTTCTGCTTCAGCAACAGGCATGTTTCGGCCGCCCGCAGCGGCAGATCGCGGAGGTTGCTGATATGACTTTGCCTTGCTTCCGGTATTTTCGGGCTTCGAAGCTCGTTTCTGAGCTTTGGATAGAGGGACGGCTGGAGGTGCCTTTGCCTTGCTTCCCGTGTTCTTGGTCTGGGAAACTCGTTTCTTTGCGTTGGCTATGAATTCTTCCACAGAGATCTTTGCCTTGCTTCCCGTGTTTTCGGGCTGCGAAGCCCGATTCTGAGCTTTGGGTAAAGGCACTGCCGGAGATGGCTGTGCGACTTTCGGTTTATCGGGTTGGGAAAATCGTTTTTGGGCTTTGGAGAGCGGGGGTGGTGCAGATGCGGGAGTATTTTCTGGGGCAGGGGCTGAGGCTGGGGTTTGGAATGCAACATCTGTGCGCACGTTGTGCTCTTTGATATAATGATTGTGTTTTTCGAGGGCTCGCTCTGTTTGCCGACGCGCCTCCAGTTCGCGGGGGGTCTCGGGGAGAATTTTCCTCGGGACATTCGCTTCGTCTTCGGAAGCGGGAGGAGAAGGTGTCGATGTGGGAGAATTCCCATAACTGGAGAAATCGCGGAGCTCGTCGGCGAGCGTTTGGCCCCGGCGCGGGATCGCTTTGATGGTGCTGGAGGAGCTGCGTTGTCGGATGGGGACGCGCGGGTTGGGTGGGGGGTTGGGCGTCCCGCCGGTGTCGGGCGTGGGACCGCGGTAGTTGTGGAGGATGCTTCCTGGTCGCATTTTGAGGTGGGTGTGGTGGTGGTGTGGTGTGGTGTGTTTGCTTTGAGATGGGATGGGATGGGATGGAAAAGAGATAGGTAATTCGAACTGAACTGAACTGAACTGAACTAAGATGAGCAAGACCACCTTTCGTATTCACAATCCCTCGTATCTACGAAATTCTTTCCTTCGTTTGCGAAAATCGTAATTAAATACCTAGACAAATACACATATGGATCGTATAACCATAAAATACAATTATAAAATATACATCTATCTACATATCTTTTTCCTCTTTACCTTTTCCTCTTTTCCTCTTTACCTCCCTCGCTACCTCCTCACCACCTCCCTCTTTACCAAATACAAGACAAGATAAGATAGGTAACCAACTAACCCCATTTATATTTCATTATTCCCATAACAAAGAAAAGAGATAATGAAATATCTAGAGGCGGGTTTGAACATTTGGGATAGGGGAGTGTGGGTTTTGTACTTTTCTTTGTTTTTCTTTGATTTTCTTTGGGTTTTCTTTGGGTTTTAAGGCTTGGGGTCGGGTTGGGGGTTTGTTTGTTCTTGGACGGATGCGGAATTTTTTTGTGGTTGGGTTTGGGTATTTGGAGGATAGGAGAGGAAACTCGGGGTCGGAATATGATGTGATGTGATTTGAATTAAGAAAATAAGAAACTATATGTGATTCTTTTTGATGGGATGTATGAATGAGATGTATGGGACAGGATGCGAGATGAATGAGATGAAGATGTTTTGTATTATGTTTTTAGAAGCATATTATGGTATTATATCTTTCCCTCGAGATCTTTTAGATAGTAAATAGTGGATTGTGATTTTATTATATATTGTTATTGTTGGATTTGGATTTTAAATGAAAATACTTGTATTATGAGAGAGGGAGAGAGGGAGAGAGGAGAGATGGGATTGAAAATCAATGATTGTTAAAGAGAGGAAGAGAGAAGAGAGAAGAGAGAAGAGAGAAGAGAGAAGAGAAGAAGAGAGAAGAGAGAAGAGAGAAGAGAGCAGAGAGAAGAGAGAGAGATATGAAGAAGTATATGATTTAGATTCTGATTCTGATTCTGCTCCCGTGAGCTGGAGATATACATGTGCATTTGGATGTAATTGTGAAAGAATAGAATAGAATAAATATAAGAAACTAAATATCAATATCGAGTACCTATTCAAGAGTATTATTTTTAGCGGGGAGGAGAATCGAGGGGTTAAGGAACGGAGGGAGCTCGGGAATTAATTGTGGTATATATATATATATATATGCAGGAGAGAAATATGTAGGAGAGAAATAGGACGAGAAATAATCGAGTCAGATAGAAATAGTGTATAGGAAGGGATATTAGATATTGGATATTAAGTATATTCCGTAAAGAAGATATGAGTAAGTAAGTAAGTGAAAATGAGTAATGAGAATAAGTAATAAGAATAGCCTCGAGTTGAGGGAAAATCCAACAGAAAACGAAAACGAAACGAAAGAAAAACGAATGAAAACGAATGAAAATATCTTACCTTTTATGAATCTGTATCTTGTGGCTTCATGTCGCTGAATTGATTAATAGCAAGAATGAGGAATGAGGAATGAGAAAAGAAAAATGAGAAAGGAAGAAAAAAACAAACAACTCAACCCCCAAACCCACCATTCCAACCCCTCCTCTCCCTCTCCCTCCTCTCCCTCTCCTCCCTCCCCCTCCTAACCCTCCCCCTCCTAACCTCCCAATCCAAAATATCCACCATCCCCACATCCCCCTGCGCATCAAACCTACACATTCCGCCACTCTCCTCCCCTCCCATCCCACCCGGCGCCATGCCCCACCTCCCCCACCCCTCCCCATCATCCTCACCAATCCACACCTCTCTCCCTCTCCCCCCCTCCTCCCACCCATTCTCCCCCCAATACCTTCCTTGCAACACATTCTCCGGATGCGGCCAGATATACGTATTCGCACTCGGGATTTTCATCGGATCCCCTTTCCAGTAGCCGTGGGGTCGCGGATACATCGTGTTGGATGGATGATGCAGATTCGAATGGGCGCGCCATTCGCTGTGCGTGCGAGGCAGGAGCCATCGATAGGTAACGCAGTCCCCGGATTTGTGCGCGCTGCCGTGGCAGAGTGTGCAGGTGGATGAGCGGTAGCGCGCTTGGTAGATGCTGGAATCGGGGTGGTCGGGGTGGTCGGGGTTGGGGGTTGCAGGGTGGGTGAGATAGGGTTGGGGGTGAGAAGAGTGGGGAAGGTAGTCGGGGGTATCGGTTTCGCGGATGGAGTTTGGGTTCTGGTTTTGATTTGGATTTGGATTCGGAGTCTGATAATTAGAATACCGAGGATCGGCATACTCATCCTCATACTCATACTCAAACTCCATATCCGTCCTCAAAACGCTGCTTTGCATGTCCAAAATTCACAGACGGGCTTGCGGTGCTACTACACATCCTGCCTTGTGTTTCTTGCGGAGCACGATATTGAACATATGCCGAGTCGATTTGTCCACTACTCTGACCATCTGGGAAAGCGACTTTTCGTGCGCGCGGCGCACCCGGGTTTGGGTTCGTGATGGGATGAAACCCCTCTTTCTCACAGGCATTATTCCAATGACCCGACTCTTTACATTTTCTGCAAGGCCGGTTGGGATATTTACCATTGGGGAAGAAGGGGGTGATATCTTCACCGGTTGGCGCGAGACATTCTCCCGAATCGGAATCGGAGCTGGAACTTGAGTCTCCTTGTCCATTTCCATTCCCTTTATCATTCTTCCCATTCCCATTCCCACTCCCACCATTTTTCGATTTCCAAGTTCGACACTGATCTTCCCAATGATTTCCCCCACACTCTCTACACTCTGGCGAATCCCTTCCTCTCTTCCCCTCTCCCGCGGGATTCTTGCGACAATCGGATTCCCAATGGTATTTGCCCTCGCAGATACGACATTCCAAGAATTCTTGGGGGACTCTACCTTTATTGTGAGTTCCTTCATTTTCGCTCTTGTGATTTCTTCCCTTATCTCTTTCTCCTCCTTTCTTATTGTTATGTCTGGGACTAGAATCATTAGCACCACCACCAGAATTGGAGTTCTTACGTCTGTTTTTATTATTTCCCATGTTTGCTTTTGTTTCTGTTTTGCTTTTCTCTTCTTTCGTTTGCGTGTATGAAATGATGAAAATATTTCTATGCGACCAGCGCTAGTATAATTGTTTAAGAGTTGTGATTGAAGTGATGAAATATATGTATAAGTATGATAGTATAAAATAAACAATTTACTTACTCGAGTTATTCTTGTTCTGTTGCGTTGAAAAGATATGCGTGAGTAAAAGAATGGAATTGTTCGACATCTGTATTGATGGAAGTATATGTATCTGTTCTTTAACAAAGAACAACGATTTCTTTATGAAGAAATCATGAAAGGGAAAACAAATGCATTGTACGTTTCAGTAAACGTTCATTGTTCATGAAAAAAAAAAACAAAGCCAAAAGAATACTTCCTTTGTATATATTCAAGCGAAAGTCCAGATTCTTTGAGAAGTTCTATTTTCCTTTCATGCTCTGTTCAAATTTCTTTCTGTGTGGCCCATTCCCTAATGAACGCGATAGTAGTGGGATGATAGGGAGACAAAATTGTGTAGATATATTGCTTGATAATTTTTACAATGCAAATGTACCGTTGTTCGTGAATTTCAGAACAAGTGCTCGTAAAGTGGTATAAATGCTACGTGATTTTGATGTATATATCATCCATTAAGTACCGACCTAGTGTTCTCTCATATACAAACTCTACCTGACAAGATCAATATTCGTAGCAAGCTAGACTTCTATCAATACTCATCATCTTATCATTAGAGTTTAATTGTATCAGACAACACTAGAACTACACACAAAACAATTCCAAGATGCCATCCTGGAATTTCACCAGTGTTGATTTCGACAACATGCTTGAAGAACCATCTTGGGCCTTTTCTCACCTACCTCTCAACAACAGCTCAGAGTTTATTCTCGAAGCTCCAAGTGAGGGAGAGGAAGAATTCGAAACAATCCCACTAGACAATATGTATGATGGGGATGTCGAAGATTCTAACGAGGATGATTTGGATGATTTACTTCTCCAACTCAAACAACAAGAAAGATTAACACAAGAACTTTACAGTCGAGCAAAAGATAGCGAACAACCAAACTCCCTAAGCAACAGCTCAGACTACTCACGAGAATCTTCCTTCAACCTCCAGTGTCCTCCTCCAAGAATTAGTATGTCTTCAAACATTCGCCAAACTACATTCGTTATCGGCAATAGTAATGATCTCGAACGGAAAGGTAAAGAGAACGCCCCCAGGATATCCGAGGTACCCCGTCGAAAGACCCGAGCTCAAGCCCCCTTACTTGAACTCGATTTACCATCTCCAATTGATTTTGGCAAAGTATTCTCTCCAAAAGCTTCTGAAACAATGGACAACGACTTTGTTCCCAATATGCTAGAAGGGTTTGAGACTATGAACTTTGGCGAATTGATACAAGACTACGAATCTGGCGACATTTTGCACCCAACCGAAGCCCAAAAATTCCGCTGCGACATCGAAAACCCGGAAGTATTCAGCATGGAACCTCATTGGTTCCACGACACTAAAAACACGAGGTGTTGGTGCATTCATTGTATTCAATATCGAAAAAACACAATCCACAGGTGAGCAGATGGAAGCGCATGATTACGATTACCGTTGCCTCTGTTCTTCTTGCTCAGAGCTTTATCACGAAGCCTTGCCTGAAGGTACATATTGTAATTGTCCAGATTGTAAGATTACTAATGTCGATGAAGACCAAGGACTTACAGATCAAAATGAAGCATTTGCTGAAATCCAAAAACAGATCCAACTCCAATCACCCGAACAACGAATTCAAGATTCAGAACAAATGGCTACGGAGATCTCACCGAAGTTACCGTCAGACCCTCTTTATAAGGATTCTACAACAGTTGCAAGTGAGTCCGATGGTAGCCTCTCAGAATTACTTAGCATGATTCGTGAGAACTTATGGTTGGATTCTGATTCTGGTACAGTTGGTGATTTCGATGAGGAGTAGACTTTTTCATTATAACTTTTCACATGGTTAAATAAGGTAAGTCGTAGATATATCCTGGTGATATACTCTGCGCGGAGAAAGATAAACCCATGGAAGTCTGGCAACAATAAAACCCCCCCATAAAAAACCAAACAAAGTACTGATTTACAAAAAATGATTTTCCCCAATGACTTAGGAAGAGTGAAATAGAAAGATGATTTGTGATTGTAGCAAAATGACCCAACCGGTATGAGGATGACAACAGAGAATGAATACTAGGCATTTCTTTGTTCTAGGGTAAAAATAGACCCAGCCAAGAAAACCTCGATAAATTCATTGGGATAATAAAAACCATATTTAGATGGGAAATTATGATTGTCTGGTACTCGAACAGAATTCAAACATGGAGATTGTGATTGCATTTTACTCGTTTCAATTTGTGATGTAGAACGTGAGCTCGCGAATGCATACTCTCAAATGAGACGAAGAGCGAACGCAACAAGCTTTTCGGGGACTCAAGACTAAGAAAATAGTACTCACTGCGCATAAAACTCAATTCTTTGTACTTGATCAAAGAAGCGACTGAACTATGCTCGTTGTCCTGAAAGAATTGGGTTGATTTCGGGGTTTCGGATAATCATCCCGTTCGCCTAGATAAATGTTCAAATTGAGTTTGTAGAATGAAAAGTGCATCATCTCATTTTTGTGGATGTTTTGTAGCATCACTGGATTTCTGTTGGAAAATCAAACTTTTCTCTAAGGTTAAACTAAGAATGATGCATTTTGAGGGTAAAACCCCACGAGTTTGCATTATCTTTGAGAACAATGAGTCAAAACATTTGGGCTGCACCTAAATGCAGGTACTTGACTGCCTAGAGATCCCAAAGTTCGCCATGGTACTTGCACGGCGAGCGTTAACAGGTTTATGAGATGAAGGAAGGTATGAACACATCTGCATCGCCAACGAATACATAGCCACTTCGGAAATGGTACATTACTGACTTTTGTGATTGACATGAAGTAAATCCGTAAGAAGAAAAAAAATATGTCTCAATGCCCAATATAGAAGCGATTGGTTCGAAGAGAGCCTAGGGATGCACATACATGCATGGCATGTTGACATGCGTTTTATTTTCGTAATAACCCTCGCTGATAGAGGCGCTTAGCAGCGTCAAAGCATAGATCCAAAGGTTGTCCAGGGTGACTCGGATACTTCTATTATTGTTCGGTGAAGTGAAGGGATGTTTTTTCCCCCAATTTCTGCTGATGGCAGTGTTTCTCTTGCTTCTCCTTCATTTTGCGATATTCTCAACGAGTGGCGCCTAAACTTGCTGGGGGGGTTTATTGTTGGGCTGAAGAATTGTGATGAGAGTATATGAGCGGTTCGGGAAGGATAGGAATTCAAGACAATTTTGAGGATGTAAGATTTTTTTAATACGAAGAAAGTTCTTCACTCTTATGAATCTCATCAAATATTGCGGGATTGCCGATGAAGCTTTGAGAAGCCATTCCATGATGGTCTTGACCACAAGAGACCGGATCGATCTAAGGTATAAAGGGACCAAGGTTGAGACCTTAAAAGGCATCATGTGACTATGAACGGATTAGCTGCATGAGATTTTGATCTGGGGGGGTTTATTTAGCAAAATGTGGATATGTGGAAGTGGATCCCAAACGCGGAGTATGTTCAAAGAGTTTGTGGCCGAATTAAAGCGGATCCCCGGTGACAGGATCATCTCTGGAGGGTAAGAGCGAAAAGAGGAGATTGGATATCTGGAGACTTGGAGAATTGGAGAAGTGGGATGGAGTGGAAGGGGTTTTTTTTTCTTTTGGGTGGAGATTTACGGCGTGGTGTGGTATTCTTGAAATTGTGTATGTAGGGAGATGTGTTGTGCATGTGTTATGACAGCAGTGGCATGGGAAAGTGGTCAAAATGACGATGATGAAGGATTTTCCGTGAGCAGCATATCATGCAGCAGATGGGATTGGATGTGTTTGTTTTTGTGAGGGGATACGTTTGATGATTGGGAATGTTTGTGCAGCGTTTGATATGACATTGCTTAAGAGGGGTCAGAGGACTAAGAGAGGCAAGGGGACTACGAGAAGGAAGAAAAAGAAGAGATGGAAGAGATGGAAGAGATGGAAGAGATGCAAGAGGGCTAAGAGAAGAAAAGCAAGAGAATACACACAATACACACCAAATACATTGCATTCCTCCAAGCCAAGAAAGTATCGTGTAGATAGTAGCCTACCTGGGCACGTGCTGGGGTATACGGTACATTGTACGAAGGATGGTCTAGGAACCGGACTCTTCTCTACCTACCTAGGGAGGTCCTGTAAACTGTAAACTGTAAACCCCCGCACCGATTTGCATAAATTCGAATTCATTGGCACATTCGTGCATATATCAGGGTTATGAATACCTTGGGTACCTACCTAGGTAATTAGCATGAACATGAACCGACCGGATTCTGACAGATGGAGGGAGGTGCTCAAGTGCCATGGGATTAATGAATGCTTTTCCTTGTGGCCTCATTGTGGACGCCCATCGTGAGACGGAAGGGGAGAGCACAAAGAGGAGAGTGAGAATACCATATACTACATACATTGTTTGCAGGAGCGACGACATACCGAGTAGTCACACATTAAGTGTAAATACTGCATAGGCGCCTTTCTCCATGGCTCTTATTGCTTGCAGTGCTTCACGATCCCGTCTGCGTCATGTTCAACATGTTTCAACATCTCAAACAAGGATTGCCATCTTTGATTTTAAAACCCTCCCAGAGTGAAGCGCCTCCTCCGGTTTCCCCCAATTTGCCATATCGCTTGGGGTACAGCCAATCAAAAGTCCCATACCCCTCCAGATCCATACAAAAATTCCATAATAATACCGTATCTAGCTTAGCGCCATGACCGAAAGAGGAAAAGCTTGGACCCGACCAACATCTGGGCCAACCTTCCGATTTCTTTTTTATCGCTCGATACCGGGAAAGGGAAATTTGGAAAAAAAGACGAGACAAAACTGGTGAGATATCTTCCAAGTTCCAATCCCAATCCCAATCCCAATCTCCATCTCCCAAAAATTCAACCGTTTCTTCTTCTCAATTCTCTCAATCGTTAGGTGATCAACGACGTGTCCACGGAAGCAGAAGGGAAAAATTTTCTTCACTTATTTGTTGTACAATCATCTTGTCACTGTTACTGTGTCAGTCTGTATATTAGCCTCGGGCTTATCACATATCATCCATCGACAAAGTAATATTATTCCCTTATCAACTCTCTCCCCATCCAATCCATCCCACAAAATCCAGCAAAAGAACGAGTGGGAACCAATTGAACAGCAACGTCGTAAGTGTTTTCCGCCCAATGATCAGATTTCTAATTCACGGCCAAAGTATGGAGGGGTGACTGCCACTACTCTCCTCCCTTGACTGGTCTTGCTTTCTTTTCCCTATGATCTGTACAACAGCAGAGGTCATTCGTACAGCCAGATTGACATACGGTTAAACGCTAATGCAGTTTGTGGGGAAAGCCTCTCTTAGTTCTACCATTCCCATAAATTTCGTCAGAGGCGCTCCGAGCTTCCTTCCTTGATCACCACACAACTCTCATCCAAGAAGCCTCACAAACTCGAAAGAAGCGAAGCAACCAAACCATTGTCATTTGCACTACGCAGTATCACTTTTAAATAACACATACATTCTGCTCCCTCAACATACAGACTTTTTGGATCTTCAACTTTTGGTACTTTCCTCTCAAATATCTGCTCGCCTGCAGGTTTCCCACCCACCCCACCTTTAACAACTGATTCAATAGCGACATCTGTCGGCAACCTGAGTCAAGATGTCGGGCAAAACAAAACCGAGATGTAAAAATCACTTTCTCTTTGTAGATTAGCCACCGAGGTTGCTAATCGAGGGTGAGAAATAATCCTTCGTGGGCAAGTAACGTGAAGAATATTACTAACATCTACCCTTTACAGTTTGGTGGTATCTATTCCGTCATTAAATCAAAAGCACCAGTTACCACAGCAGAATATGGAGACCGATACACTCTTATCGGTCCTCTCAACAGGCAATCGGTAAGTTCTTGACATTAAAATCATTTCTAAAAGCATGGCTAACATTGATAGGCGGCAGTGGAAGTCGAGGCATTAACACCAACGAACCCCCACCTTGCGCAAACGATTAGAAGCCAGGAAGAGAGAGGAATTCAAATGGTATATGGCCGCTGGTTGATTGAGGGTGCCCACGCGTTCTCTTGATAGACACCCAAGAGGTGCCTACAGGTTTTTGGATGAGTGGAAAGGCGAACTTGTGGAATACGGCGGGAATTCCCATCTTCCGCCTGGTGATGACGAAACCAACGAAGCCGTTGTCTTCGGTTACTTGGTTGCGTGGTTCTTGGGAGAGGTGTGAGTGCATCTGCATTGCATAACGCCACGCATATGATTATTAAAACTAACACGTCTACAGTTCGTCGCACATGAAAAAGAAAAGGCCGTCATCGCACATTTCCACGAATGGCTCTCTGGTGTCGCACTTCCTCTGTGCAAAAAGCGCCGTATCGATGTTTACTCTACAATTTTTCACTAACCCACGCAACTCTCCTAGGAAGATATCTCTGTGCAGGATCCGTGGACTTTTACAACAACTTACAATGGTTTGACGTGGATGCCGAGGCAGGAAAACGTGGTATCTATCACAGATACTGCATAGAGCGTGCAGCGACGCATTCTTGCGATGTCTTTACCACTGTTTCACACATCACAGCATATGAATCTGAGCATCTCTTGAAGAGAAAGCCAGATGGTGTTCTTCCCAATGGTCGGAATGTCACCAAATTCTCTGCCATGCACGAGTTTCAAAACTTGCATCAACAAGCAAAGGAGAAGATCCACGATTTTGTCAGAGGTCATTCTATGGACACAAAACGATTTTGATTCCCGAAAACACACTTTACTTCTTTACCGCAGGACGATATGAGTACAGAAATAAGGGTGTTGACATGTTCATAGAGTCATTGGCTCGTTTGAACCACCGCCTCAAGTCTGCTGGATCAAAGATGACCGTGGTCGCATTCATCATTATGCCAGCACAAACCCAATCATTAACTGTCGAAGCTCTCAAGGGACAAGCCGTAATCAAATCGTTACGTGACACTGTTGACGTTATTGAACGCGGTGTCGGAAAGAGAATTTTCGAGCGTGCCCTTAAATGGCATGAGGGTGAAGTGATGCCTGATGAGAAAGACTTGATCACCAGTCAAGATCGTATCCTTCTCCGCAGACGTCTGTTTGCTATGAAGAGACATGGACTTCCACCGATCGTCACTCATAACATGGCAAATGATTCTGAAGATCCAATTCTGAACCAGATCCGCAGAGTCCAATTGTTCAACCATCCTTCGGACCGTGTGAAGGTCGTCTTCCACCCAGAGTTCTTGAACTCTGCCAATCCAGTCCTTCCAATGGACTACGATGAGTTCGTAAGAGGTACTCATTTGGGTGTCTTTTCTTCCTACTATGAACCATGGGGTTACACACCAGCAGAGTGTACAGTCATGGGTGTGCCAAGTATCACAACCAACTTGTCAGGTTTCGGTTGTTATATGGAGGAGTTGATTGAAAACTCAACGGATTACGGTATTTATATCGTCGACCGTAGAATGAAGGGTGTCGATGACTCGGTGAACCAACTTACCAGCTACATGTTTGATTTTGCTGGCAAGAGCAGACGTCAACGTATCAACCAAAGAAATCGTACCGAGCGATTGAGCGATCTTCTCGACTGGAAGCGCATGGGAATGGAGTATGTCAAGGCAAGACAATTGGCGTTAAGAAGAGCATACCCTGCATCATTCGACGGCGAAGAAGAGGATGATTTCATTCCTGGCGTGGAACAAAAGATCTCCCGTCCATTCTCAGTACCCGGATCCCCAAGAGATAGAACCGGTATGATGACACCTGGTGATTTCGCCAGTCTGCAAGAAGGTCGTGAAGGTTTGAGCACGGAAGATTATGTTTCCTGGAAGCTCCCGTAAGTCACACGAAAAATGATTAAAATGATCTCGTGCTAATAATTTAATAGTGAAGAGGAAGACCCAGATGAGTACCCATTCCCACTCACCCTCCGAACCAAGAAACCAAACGGATCTCAGAGTCCATATGGCGGCGCACAAAGCCCATCGGAGTATGCCATAACTAATGGAAACGGGATGAAGTAAATATAAAGAACAAGAAAATGGTTAGAAATGGTGAATACAGGAAGGAAATAAATGGGACCAGGATGACTGGAGGCAAACTACGAGGACGATAAATAATCATGTACCAAAATGTCTATACTGCTTTTCTGTTTGCATTTCTGCGTTGCTATTATGCTACTTGTATCTCTGCGTCACGCTACCGCTTGCAATTGTATATTCAATACCCTCTTCGTTGTGAACGTTGGTGGTTTTATTTATGCATGGGAATGGGTCGCAAGTATATTTGCGTTTATCATTTTAGTTATCAGGAGACTTTTTGAACAAGAAGAAAAGGATGTAGATGACGGATGAATGAAGCCAAGGCGATATATAATTGGGAGGAGGAAATGTATGATGTAAATGAGAAGGAAAAGCGTGGTATCTTTTTCTTCTTATTCTTCTTGATATTCATTCAATATAACTTTAAAGTTTAAGTAGATATGAATGAAAGCATGATATGGGTAGATTGATAAAGAGATTGGATGTTCTTTTTTGATTGTTCTTCAAGTTGAAGTTGAAATTGAAGTTGAAATTGTTGGGTGTTTGAGTAGTTGTATGCTTTCTGGGTAGGTGTAGGTATTTAGGTATGTATATGTGTGCTTGGGGGATAAAATGATGGATAAATGTTTGGGTTTGTAGGTTTGAATATTTAGGTATGTGTATATGTGTATATGTGTATATGTGTATATGTTTAGTGTTTTGTTTGTAGGATGAGATAAGATAAGATAAGCTAGGAATATGGGAGTATGGGAGTGAGGGAGTGAGGGAGTGAGGTTAGGAGGAGTGAGGGAGAGGGAGAGGGTGAGGGAGTGAGGGAGGGAGTGAGTGAGGAGTGAGTGAGGGAGTGAGTGAGGGAGAGGCGAGGAGGGAGGGAGGGAGGGAGTGAGGAAGTGAGGGGGTGAGAGAGGAGTAAGAGATGTATTTTTTGCATTTTGATAATTTGGGGGTTTTTATGGTGGGATGTTTGATGTTTGAAGGTGAATAGTTTGGGTTAATTTTATAAGTGGCAGGGGTAGGGTGGGTAGGGTAGGTATACCGTTTTAATTAGATCCGGTAATAATATCTTCTAGCTAAAAATCGTTTGAGTATATAGATTGAAGATGGTGGTCTGGTGTAAAGCAGTGATATCTCATGATTAGATTTTATTTAGGCTTTGTAGGTATAATATAGGATATTGACTATCGGATATAAAATTTAATTATTGTTTGAATTGTTTTGAATTGTAAGATAAAAAAATGATCTTTTGATAGTTTAAGAATGTGGTTTATTAGGGTTAATTTAGTATGTATAGCTTGTAATTATATATTTTAGGTTTAGTTTAAATAAATTAATGTGGTATAGGGTTTGTAGCTAGTGTGGTTGTGGAGTATGGTTTGTAGAGTATAGAATATAGAGAATAGAACATAGAGTAGGGAGTATGGAGAATGGAGTATGGAGTATGGAGCACTGGAGTATGGCGACTGGAGTATGGAGATGGAGTATGGAGTATGAGTAGCTGTTATAGGTATCTGTAATGTCATGTATGGAAGTGTGGAAATGAACTTGGATTGGCTTGGAGGACTTGAGGAAGTGGTGAATCGAATCGGAGGGGTTGAGGGGGAAAGGGGAGAGGAAAAGGGGAGAGGAAAGAGAGGGAGAGGGGGAAGCCGTTTTGAGAGGGGAGGGGGGTGGTACTGTTGGTACTATGAATCGTAGGCTTCGGGATAGATTTGATAGATGATGAGGTTTTGGATGGGGCCGAGGAAGGGGAAGGAGTTCTTTGTGGGGCTAGGGGAATGAATGGTGATATTGTTGCTGTGGAGATATTGTTGCTGTGGAAGGAAGATGATTGGGAAAGAAGGGGATGGAAGGGGAATGAATGAATGAATGAAGATTGTGAGGGGATTGGTGAATAGCAGAGGGGAAGAGGAGGAAGAGGAGGTAGGCGAAGAATTAACAGAAATGGGAGGGAGAGGAAGGGAAGAATGGAGATTGGAGGGGAAAAGAATCGTCGCTTAATAGCTCCGTATCATTTCTAGGAGGGAGAAGATGATTGATGTTTTAATATTATATTATATTAATCAGGAGGTGTTTATTTGATTTTGGGTATTTGATATTAGAATCAGATGAGTAAATATAAAAAAGCTGTATTTCATTTATAATTTATTCATTTATTTATTCATCTATCCCATCTAGGTACCTAAATACACATTTCCACAATATACAATTTATTTCCCGCTTTCTCATTCTATGTTTCTCATTCTATAATATGACTCTTCAGCGCTGTAGGTATCTAACCTAATCTAGTTTTCTGATTCTTTTTATAAATAGGTAAATGAAGGAGATGTTTTATGATTTATAATTTGAAATTTACAACTTACAACTTACAACTTACAACTTACAAGTCAGAATTAATTAGATTACATTAAATTAAATTAAATTAAATGATATTATTCATATTTGAGATTTAGACGAAAGAGGAGGGAAGGGAGGGGGATGGGATGGAAAGAAGAGGAGAAGATGAGAGAGGAGAGGAATTCTTGGGTTGGGTTTGTGTGTATGGCCCGGGGAGATTGATATGTATTTTTGTGTTTGAAGAGGTGAATGGGATGGGATGGTATGGGAGGAAATAAGAAGAAGATAGGAGTGCAAGAGAGGAGAGTAGAGGAGAGGAGAGAAATTAAGAAACAGGCGAAGAAAGGAAAAGATAAGAAGAAAAGAAAAGAAAAGAAGAGAAGAGATAAAAAAGAGGTAAGAATACACAAAATACACAATATATAAAACAAACAAACATCCTATCCTCTAATCCACATTCTACAAATCTTTTCGTTCCCCCAAGGAATCGTCATCTTGATTATCGAGATTATGTAATGATATAATGATATAGCTGAAAAATTCGAAATGGATGAGGAGGGATCGATTATGATGTTGTTATAGGTTTGTTTGTGATTTGGATGATTTGAATGATTTGGATGAAATGAATGAAATGAAATACCTAGTTGTATGTTTTTTCTTCTGGGTTTAGTGGGGTTTATAGTGATGGTGATGACGATGGAGAGATGAGGGATAATGATAATAATGAAGGAGTATTAGAGGATAGTTAGCTAGCTATGTAACATCATCTACTTTTACCACACATTTAGATCGAGCTTCATCGAATACAGTACAGTATAGTAAAATAGAGCAAAAAGAAAAGCGAATGATACATATAAAGAAAGAATGGCGTATGTGGATAAATAAATTCAAAGACGATGAATAAATCACTATATCGAAGTGAGTGAATGATTTGGGAAGTTTGTTATGTATAGATAGATGGATAGATGCGTTAGTATGAATATGAATGAGATATTTAGTCTATAGATTTGATATAAATGGAAAGGATATAAATAAGGGTTTCGATTAGAGGAAAAGGAGAGGAGGAGAAAAATAGTGTTGGTTGAGTAAGATTCTATTCTATCTATATAGGTATGTAATACAACACCTTCCTATCTCTTCTCGATGAGTATTGTGTTTTTCTCGCGTTAGGAGTATCGGTGGGGATTCCTATGGATAAAAGATGAGAACCCAAAGAGGGGGGGATTAAAATAGTTAAATAGAAATACGGGAATATATGTACAATATAAAAAGGACGACTAGAAGAATTGGATAGAAATGAAATTTAATAGATGAATGATCAATATACTAATCTATCACACTCACTCGATTTCTTTAGCGAAAGAGGATGAGAGGACAGGAGAGAAAGAAATACGGGTAATTTGTGTAGTATCTTCAAAGAAAGAGAGGAAGCATGTTCCGTCATGCTGATACTAAAGCTACATAGAATTTCCATGTAGGTTTGTCCTTTATTTCTATTCAAGATATCACTGATATGCCTCCTTATATCTTCACACAGCTCCTCCCATGTATGTATATATAGATAGGTATAGAAATAGTCTCCAGATGTGGATTGGCATTTTGGCGCTTTGATTTATTGTTCCATTATTGGTAGAGATAGATGTATAAAGTAATGTAGGTAGATCGTTGTATTCGGTGCTGTAGGTCGAATCGTGTTTGTGCGTGTAGGTGCGCTTCAAATGATAAAGTTTCGCATTTGTGCTGTCGCTGTAGATGAAGAAGTAGGATGATGATTAGCCAATGCCTTCGCAAAGTATCGTATGGGGATTCAGAGACAGATACTTCACAGCTGGAGCATGTAGAGATGTTGGAGGATATTATATAGCGAATGGTTGGTCATTTGTGATGACATTGAACGAGAACTGTGAGAATAGGTGATAAGAAATGAACAACTAGATGCGAGAGACGAGATGTATGGAATGAATATAAGATGAAGGCATAATAGAAATGAGGTGATTAGATGAACCTCCTCAAACTCCCTCCGATTTTCACCATCGCAGACTTTGAAGTTGATGCATGGAAAGGAGAAAAGACTGGTTTGTAAGGAAGAATGATTGTGTGTGGTCGGTGGCTGAGGTGGCTCATGAAGCCTGATAAAGTCGATAGACACTCAAGAACGACCTTGGAGTCAACAGCATTGAAAGCATCACAATTCAATGAGAACTTTCTGGTGGACAAGCTACGACCCTGACCTCTGACGTGCTCAGAATCATCATAATTGACCTGAGTAATGCGATGGATATTCTCATCGCGATTAAGGGGGGCAGGTAACACTCGTCAGTGCCAATATAGATGACCCATTCCTAGATGATGATCATCACGATAATAACAGTACACAATTACGGAACATCCAAACTTCCCGTATCAGTTGCAGCTGCAGCTGCAGTTGTATATTCCAATTACTTTACACAACAATATCAACTCTCTATCGAATGATATTTGCATCATATCAACGGATACTTCCGTAACATCTTGCAATGCAAATACAATGACCCAACGTGAGTGGACTTGGTCGTCGCAAAGTGGGTCACATGATAGAAAATCGAGATTGAGATTTCCAAGGTTCTCGACTTACGTCACAAGGATTTCTTGCTGCACAAGGTGTAGGC